TCTGGAGTATAATGGAAAGCTGATTAGTTGCTGCTGACAGCAGAAATGATAGTGGATATAACTGAAAACGGATCGCATTACTCTTTACCTTTCTGTGGACTAGACTCAGGGGAACACAGAGATGGAAAATATGGGAGAGAACTACTTCATGTGCAGGCAGATCAGATCGTCTGCAATGTCCATTTCCCTGTGCAGCAAACACCAGACCCCCTCATCCCCACTCCTCCTTTCTCTACCTTCAGTTAATGCATGCACATGCAGACTTACAGCAGCCCCTGGTGGCATTCAAGTGCAACAAAAATATGAATTCCCCACTTCTGATAAGGTGATGTATTCATAGAAAATCCTGCAACAAGTAAAATGAAATACGTTTCATTTTGGTATTCTGCTGTATTCTTTATGTTTCATTTTTCCAGCTTTTTTTCCCTTATTGTTGGGCTTGTTATCAAAGAGGAAACAGACATGACATGTTAATATAAAAGGGCACTCTTTCAAGCAATTCACCAAAAATATTTATTTTTTGCAAGAGCAGTTGCTGAATATTTCTGCAACATGGTACAACTGCTTATGAAATTCTCCTGCTACCTGAAGTCCAAATATTGGATGTAACATATCTTGTTGTGCGACAATAAAGGATTGTCTATCTTAATTCAAATAAAAGCTTTATATAAAGCACAAGGGATTAAACTGTGTATTGGATACCTGGTCAGCATATTAGGATAAAATGAAATAATCTTTCTGGCTTTGATCCTCATCTCTGTCATCTCAAGTAAAGACAATGAACAGACAAATTTTGTTACTTTACCATCAGGATGAACCATCGCAGCTCTTGTAATTACTGTAGGTCTGGAGCTGTCTCATGATGAGGTAATACTGACAGTAATCCTGCTTCTTATCTAATCAATGGATGAGAGTGTGTAGCATCCTTCATTATAAAGAGGGTGAGCCGGTCTGTTTAATGGCAGTGTTTTATCTTTCAAAATCCATTAGTATCCCAACAGTAAAGCAAGTGATTTAGACCTGATAATATATGTAATTCACTCTAAGAAAGATGCAACTTGCCAACACAAAAGAAAGTCGTGATGACGGCTGGGTTTGAAGTTTGGGTTTGAAAATAAAGCTCACACCTTTGTACCACGTTTCATTTCTGAGTGTTGAAGCTGAGCATGTGGGATTTTTTTAACAGATGCAGTTGTGATCACAGAGAACTGCCTGGAAGTTATTATAAATTATAGAAAATCTCTTTATATAGTTTCAAAACTACTGCGTGTTCTGCAGTTTAGGTACATTTAAAGAATTTGGTACTGATATGAAATAGAATATAGGCTGAGAGACTATCAAGAAAGGCAAAAATGTTTAAAACCTTGGCTTATCCCTTTTTTTGTCTAAGAGAAGCAACATAAATAAAAATGGATTATTTAATACATTTGCGACAGTGTTCTACACCCCTGAACCTAATTTTACTTTACAATTAGGTGATTCCATCATTGTCCTTGTTGCCTTTGCAGTGCAAATCCTTAGGCATTTGGCAGGAAATTGGTTTGGAGTAAGCATGAGCTGTAATACAGAACGAGGCCCATCGACGAAACTCTCATTTTGCTTTCAGGTACAAAAAAAAGTAAGATAAAAACAAATTTCTTTTGCTTGCAAATCGGTTAATGTGCGGAAATGAAATTGTCAGTGGCCATCCTTTATCACATTAGTATAAAAGATGAGGCGGTAAAGAGATCTGTCCTTGAAATGTTCCGTCATTTCCAAAGCACTGTCTCAAACAGCAGTTATCTGTGCAAAGACAGCTAGAAAATGAGGGAGGAATTAAATTAAGAGCAGAAGCACAAGTTTTACATCCGTACTTACAGCAATTTAAAAGATTTCATTGGACTTTTCCAGGTTTATTAAATGCTCAGTAAACTGAACTTCATGTATTGCATGGCTGTTATTATTCAAACCCTGTTGCTAGCTTTGAGCTCAAACCTGATTCATGAATCAATATGAAGAGCTGACAGTTGGAAGATTGCAAAAAGGGACATGTTGCAGGAGGCTTTTCAATGATCATGTAACATGCAAAAGTCTCAAAGATAAAAGTAATTATAGCTGCAGACGTGCAGGTACACTGAAATGGTCCTTATCTATGACATATTTAAACCCCTTTATCTCTAAACACCTGTAAAGAGCCTTTAAATGGTCTCTCAGTCAGGGTGAGTATGCTGCACAACCATAAGGAGGAGTGATTATTTGACAGATGTCCAGAAGACTGTTACTTATGACCACTAAGGATGGCAGGCCACAAAATGCCATTGCTGAAGATGTCAGTTGTTCACAGATTGCTGTATCAAATGATGTCCATAGAAAGTTACGTTGAAGAAAAAGAAGTGGTAGGTAAAATAGTCACCAGCATTAGAGATTACGGCATCATGATTGAGGTTCACAAAGTTAAAAAGCATGTGGTTCCACCTATTTGCATTTCTGCTCTACAGTATGGACAGGGACTAATTACCTGATTAGGAAAATCAGACAGGGTCGTTACTTTATGGACATGGATTTATATTCCATATTTAGATTGTTCTCTGCACTTAAAACGAATAAGGCTAAAGTCAGAGCTTCCAGAGCCAGTGTACAAACAAATCTTACATATGTGCTACAAGCATTGTACCTGAACTAAAGGGGAAAGAAAAGGACTTTTGGATATTGATCCAAAATCCACCTTTCAGGTTGAATGAGAGAAGCAATATTCCATAGATTATATCTGGAAGAAGGTGAGAGACAATAAACCCAATAATCCAGATGACTTGATGACTTCTACTTGAGCAACTTGGGGTACCATTATTTCTTAGCAGAGCCACAAGCTGATCCTATCTTGCATTGATGCAACAGGATTTAAACAAATTAAATGTTGGTTAGAAAGGTTATCCAAATATCAGAATGAACATACAGTGGAGGCATTTCTTTTAAAGAAAGAGAAATCAAGTAAAAAAAAAAATAAAAAATAACAGAGGACCCCAAGATATTTTAACTCCTCCACTTGAGGCAGGAACTCTCCTCCGACCTTAAGTGGAAAGACCTCTGGCTTCGCCCAGTGGAGCCGGAGGAGTGTCTCAGGAGAAGGAAGTCTGGGAAACTCTGCTGAGACAGATGGAACCCTGTGACCAGGTCTTAGATAAGTGGAAGTACAACAGTTATAAATTTTACTCAAGCAAGAATGTTTTTTTCTGTCTATTTTTAATCAACATTGACAGACATATCTCAGTGTTAGTAAAATTTCGGTTAAATAGGTTTACCTTTGATTAAATCGTATCTCTCTTGTTTGCATGTTATTTAAAAATGTCATGTTATAATTTACTTATAGCCCTTCTAAATAATCAATGGAATGTTTTGTATTGGTATTGTATGTCCTAATAAAACCAATGTTAAAATTCATGACCAGCATTTTGCATGTTTCCATTCGTTATTTCATTATTGACTACCAGGCTACAGGTTTGTATTTTCTAATACAAACTGGGACTCTTGCTGTGCTGCTGAAAAATGGGCAATACATTCATTTAAAAGAGTTTTAATACATTTGAGATATCATTCAAAATATAACAGGGCCTGTATAGAATTCAAAGGCCATGTTAAAAAACACTGGTGTTTCTCAAACAATACCTTAGCCAATGGCGTAACTATCGTTAAGCAGAGACTGCAGTTGCTTAGGGGCCCCATCACTGACACATGGCTGACCCCCTACGCAATTTTGGACTAGGACGTTTCTTTGCAGATGTAATAGTGCGAAAAATTCATCTTAAACCCACCTGATACTAAAATGACTTTATTTATACCTCAACACATGCCAGATTTCAACCTGATGGTGAGCCATTTAAACATAACACCAATTACAAAGCAGACAGTGGTACTTTTAATTACTATGTTAATAACTGTGTATAGTTCATTAGACGGACGGTACAAAATACACTCATATAATATGTTTCAAACCGCAATAAAGATCTTACAAGAACAATGTGTTTGAGTATTTTATTTTTTACACTATGACTTGGCATTATGGGTAATCCAGAGCGTAGATTAAAACCATTACTGTTACGTACAAAGTGTTAGCAACGATGGATACCAAAAAGAGGTGCTTAAGCGGATTCCAGAAAAAAAAAAAGGAAAGAAGAGTTGCTGGAAGAGCAGAAAGAACTTCCCAAAATAAACATGTTCTTTCAAAGAACCAAAGACGGAGATGAGAACGTTGCTTCTGCAGTGAGTGAAGATTGCGACCAGGAGATGAATGGAAAGAGCGTGGGTGAGGAGGGGGGCTTTGAAGCTCAAGGTAGCCCAATAAGACTCATTTTACAGCAGAATATATTAAAGTATATCCATGTCTTGTGAAAGTAAAAAATTATGAAATGATGAAGTGTGTATGTATGGGGAACATTTGTGATTTAAGGCAGTACATATCATCTGCCTGAAAATGGTTTTGTTCTTAAGGATTAAATAAGCACACTAAGGGATCAGTGCCTGCACCCCAGATGTGGACACCTTTATGGGTGAAGCAAAATGTGGCCTTTTGCACCCAGGAGAGGCAGCTTTGGAGATACTCTTACCCAGCATTGAAACCATTAGAACCTGACCCTTAATCAGATTTCTTTTTCTTTGATTAATACATAGAAGTATTTATAGTACTTTTTTTTTCAATACTTACTAATTTTACTATCATATAGCACCATCCAAGACAGATGAGAATGAACTAGTTTAAATTTTTGGGGTGTTTAATTATCAGATCTGTGCAATAAGAGATAATGTGTCTTTTTTATTTTACTAGGAGGAAATTCTTAAATAGGCCTGCTCAGAACAAACAATTAGGCTGAATCTCAAGTTTCAAATGAGGTTTTAAATCAGCTTACTCTCATAATCCTTGGAGTTATGCATCAACTGGCCGCTAGGGGGTCGCTAACCCTCTTCACTTCCTCTGTTAAACTTTGCTTGAAGTTTTCTGGTGGGCGGATACCTTCCTGTCAGCTGCACTTCATAAGTGAAACACGTTGATGGAAAGGCAGCAGCAGAAGTGTGGAGCGTGTCTCTAATAAACTGGACGTCAATTATCCGGAGAGCATCAAACAGCTCAAGTTAATCAGAGAGACGGCCTCAGGTAGTGGTTTATTTCTCATTAAATGTTAATTTTTTTATTTTCCTATGCTGATTGTCCTTTTGCTCATGTCTGATGTCATTAATTGAACTAAGTTAAAATGCTTGCTGCAGGTCTGTGACTGCTGCGCTCCGTAACTAATGAAATGTTTCCCATTTTGCCCCTCAATTAGAGCTGCACCTTTTCCCCAAAGCTGAATATTAAAGATGGAGTGGCGGCAGCAGAGCAGCGTCAGCTGCGAGGACGCCTTCACAGAGGCTCAGCGCTGGATTCAGGTCTGTCTAATTACATCACATGGTGATTATCAACTGCTAAAATGCGTGTTTTTGTCCCCCCCATTCTCCCTCTTGCACATAAAGACAATATATGGGTTAAAAGCAAACACAAACAAAAGTAAAATGTATAAAAGTTCACCTGTGCATCGTTTGTGATAACAAACCTCCCTATATATGACCTTTTAAGCACTATTGCATTTAACCAGGCGTCACTTTGCAAACTTATCTTAATGCAAAGCATGCTTTGATAAGACTTTAAAACAAGTCTGTCCCCTGGAAGAAAAAAAAACCTCCCTCACTTCTCAGATAAAAAATTATTTGAATGCAGCATTTAAATGACGAGATAATTTAGTTTAAACAGGAAAAATCAATATGCAACAGCTTGTCTTTATGCCCTGACAGGTTTTATTTTCACCTTATGTTTAAGAGGGATGAGGTAAGAGATCTCTGTCAGCTATTGTGGCATGCATGGTTGGCACGCCATGGTGGAGGATGTGGCTTTTACAGCAAAACATAACCCTGATATTTCAGCCTCACTTGTGACCAGTAATTCTGCAAGCTGTAATCCTCAAATCATTACCGATGTATACAACATCTGGATGCTGAATGTCAATCAACTGTAAATGGGACTGTTAATGTCACTTGTGTCTGAGTAGATCATTATGAGGATTTTGTCCAGAGCTCTCTTGGCAGGCAGCCCGTGCCAATTTTACTCCTATTTTCCTGCACTAACGGATGAAAGGAGGGCGAACAATGATGAGCTGTGTGTGTTTTAGACTGGAGGGAAGTAAAGCGGATGGATTTTCAAGTGATAAATTGTGTCATGCATTCTTTTTTGTGCCAAATCATAATGTAAATGCGGTCTCACTAATACCCCGAGCTACAAGCTGCAAGATGAGCTTCCAGAATCTTTGGCTTTACTCTTTATGGTTTCAGCTATATGTGAATGTTTGCTCAGTGGCTGTTGGCCAGTCGGATTGCACCAAACTGTTAAAAGAAAAAATTGTATCATTTGAAGCAGATCTGGTCTGGAACTGCCTATTTAATTGAGCTCTGTTAAACCCTCAATAATAAACTTTAATCGTCTCCATATTAAATTTTAATCTTCTTCTTAATAGTTGTTGTTTTTTGAAAACCTTAACTTTTTAAGGTTTAAAACTAATCTATTATGTTACCCTTTAACAATTCAATAGAGCTGATGGGTAAAATGAACAATAGTTTTGCAAGTTCTAAAGTGTTTTTTTGCATGCTCTTATTGAAATGTCAGATTAACATGCTTATGCAGACAATGCCCCTCAGTGGCACATTGTGTTTTTGCCACGTTAACCATGCACTGAACTGCTTTGTCTGACTGCTGGGAAACATTGAAGCTATACTCTAGGCCCGGTTCACTAAAAATGAATTTGGATTGTGGATTCCTGGGGGTACCAATTAGTGAGACGAGCAGCCTTTTGGGGGGCCCTCTGTTAAAGAGGCGGACTTTAATGGTTCCATTTTAATGTCCTCATTACGAAACCCACCCTTGCCCTGATCATCCCACTGTCCTCTGAAATCTTTCTTTTTTTTTTCACAAAAAAAATAATTTGAAAATGTTTGTGTTAATGATTACTTACAAAAATTTGTAAAGTAAAAAAATTTACTTACAAAAATCTGTGAAACATTTTGTTAAACAGATTTTTTCACCACTCTACACCTGTGGTTTGAATTACACAAAGCTCAGGAGTACCAAAGATGGTGTTTTTACATACAGCAACAACAAAAAAAGATCTTAGTTTTCCTAATATGTTTTTGTTATGGTGCTTAGTAGATTACATTATTAAGCATATGATTTGGTCTCTAAATTCCTGGTTCCTGGCTTGTTTTAGGACCGTGCACGATTATATACATTATCTTGCTTAAATTTATGTTACGTTTTGTGAGTAGTATGCAGTTTATGGCAAACTGTATGGAGACCTTTTCAATGAAAATAATTATGTTGAGTTTTCCAGAATATAAAAAAAAAAAAAACTTTTTCAACAGAAATGTGAGTTGAGTGTTTTTTACAAACCGTGGTCAACAATATCTGTACAAATATAGTTACTAATTTAGTTACTAGAATCCATTTTTGTAATTTTGTACAGTTAAAATATATCTCTATATGCTGGATTTGAAGGAAGGGAATTAAAACCAACTTTTTGTTTCCTCACTGTTAACTCGCTCTAACCTTTTTGCATTTATAATATTTGATCTTCTAATTCTGAGGATTTGCATACTTTTTTCAGTACTTGGTAAAGTCTTCCTTCTAAACAGGGATAACAGGGATCTGACTTATGTTAATATTGCTATTGGAGTAAGTTGACAAATGGCTTTTCAGGTCATGTTTGTACCAGTGTTTTTAACCCTAGTAAATGGATGTGCTCTTACCAGCCTCATCACACAAAATGTTTTGCTTGCATTCTGGGGTTAATAGTGGATTATCCAAAAAATAAATATCTTGGATTTAAAAAAAAAAAAAAATTCTCCTTTTTGCACAATAAGTTGGCTGGATGTTCCTGTGGTGTTTTCACCATTTGGTTTAGATAAAAATAATACATTATCACAAGGAAGCCATGTGTTAAGGTTCTTTTCTATGGAAACACATCCATGGATATATACCACCAGGTAGTTGAAATTTATCATTCTTGGCTGCAATCATAGCCCTAACCCCTACAGAATTATTATTTCATATATTAGCCATAACCTACAGTAAGTCTATGTAAACCTCTGACCTGTAATAAAGTAGATTCTCATTATTTTTGCACTTAAGCAAACTGAAACAGTTGATAATCCCAGCTGAACTAAAGCATGGGTTGGAGTGTTAATGTCTCTTTCATTCAGTAAGTAAATGTTTTGTTGACCGTAGATGGAGCAGCACTCTTACCAAGTTTCCGTACTCTAGTAATTATCTCAACAAGTCATCCAGATGCCAATGGAGCTAAGTTGTATCTGGGGAAGAAAGAATTAAGATGATGAAATGGAGCAAAACATTTTATTACTATGCACATTAAACTACTATTTCAGGTTGTGTATGTGTTGTGAAGCAATTCATGATAGATTTAGGTGCCCTTTTCTTTTTTCCAAAATAGGAGGTAACTGGAAAATCCTTTGGCTGCAGTGATTTCCGTGTTGCCTTAGAAAATGGTGTGTTGCTTTGCGAGTAAGTAATGACACTCAAGGAGCTTATTGTAAACTATGTAAGGTATTCTGTTGTTTTACTAGACATAGTAGTTGTTCAAAACTCTTTTGTTTACAAGAACTAGCATAAAGTTTACCTTGCATATTTAAGCTGCTAAGTCTTCTATACCATTAAATTTAAGTCTTTTTTTTTTATGTAAGCTAAGTATTTATCACAAAGTAAAAGTCAGTTTCGTTTATACTTAACTTTTTGTTGTACCCTCCCCTAATGTTTTTCTCTCTGCTGATTTTTGTCTTCCAAGCTTAATCAACCAGTTAAAACCTGGAATCATCAGACGAGTAAACAGGCTATCCACTCCCATTGCTGGACTGGTAAGTATTAGACTTCATCCATCTGGTACAAATTTCACTTCGTTTTACTCAAAATATAACTAAGCACCTGCCAGTCAGGAAGTGTTGACACGTGTGGTTTTCCTGTTAAGGCACCCAGACAGGGTATGTGAATTTGAATGAAGCTTAAACGGTATTTTTGGGTCAATTGTAAACCTGATTATAAAGTTTTATTTAACATTTAATACAAATGAGGTTCATACAAATTTTTTTAGTTTTCTTTTTTTGACTCCGGGCTGCATTTCAGTGCCTCAATGCCAGTGTACTTTTCCAAACTGCCCAGAGCAAATGCATCGGGGTATCGATTTTTAACCCTCCTGACAGAGGCCAATGACCTGCCAGACCGTAACAAAGGATGCAGGAGAGGTGGTTGTGATGTAATCTGCTGTTATAACGGAGGTCTCTTAGTGTTGTTCACAGCTTAATGGACCATATTGATAGTGTGCACATTTAATCATTTTAATTGTAACATTATTGGTGATATTCAAGACGGATGTCGATGCTTCATCATCTTTTAGATTGTTGATTTAACAGTGCAGACTAACTTCGTAGAGATGTTTATCAGCTATAAGTCCACCACTAGCTATGATTTTTAATGATGTGAGGTACAAAACTGACACTCTATATTTATATGGCTGGATAAATCACTATACATGTAAAAGGTGAAAGCTGAACAGTCAAAGAGGTATACAAAGTATTGAAAGGTTTGCCTTACATGCCTCCTAGATATCTACAAGCAAATCATTTTATGATGATGGTGCATGGAAAGATGAAGCTTATTCGCAGATTATCCTTTGTGAACCTCAGGAATGCTCAAAACAAGTATAGATGGCAAAGCACCTGCAGGTGTAAAATGGATCACAAGGCCTGCCAACTAAAGCAGAACCTTGAAATCTGCTCTTGCTGCAACCAGCAAATGCAGGGGTGCTACTACCAGAGGAATATGTTCATGGTTATCTGTGCCAGTCAAAACATGAGCTGCTATATCCTGCACAGCTTTAACAATGGGCAGGAAAAAAAAAAAAAAATCAGCTTTGAGAATGGTTGACTTTTATTCATGGTCTCTCATGTCTCGCCATGAAACCATGTTTGGTGTGTTTTTGTTTTTTTTCTGCTTAACACAGCACCTGATGGGTGCATTATGTTTTAGTTTAGGGTAGACTGTGGCAAGTGTTGGCTGAGTAGACGAATTGTCCCTTCAACCGGGAAAAAAAAGTTTAAATAATTTTATTGAAAAGTTTTTGACATCTTAGCTGAAGGATATTACGTTGGGTCTTTGTTTTTTTTTTCATATTACTGGATGTTTTTTACAACTGTTTTACAGGACGAAAAGTTATCCGTCACACTCATAGGTGCTTAGGTGGATTTCTGTATAAGGGGCAGGTGTCTGGGGTAGTTCTGGAGCTTTACCCAAATTACGATGGACATTAGAGTCTGACGTTACCTCCCCATCCCTCTTCGATTTTTATTGTGATGTGAAACAGTTAGTAGTCATGAGTATTATAAAGTAAGAACATTTTTACAACCTTTAAATCAAACCTGGAATCTTTTTGTTTCATTTAGGTGCAACTATATGGTTTGGACCTGTTGAAAGTAATATGAAATGGAATGTAGGGGCTATACATTCAAAATAGATGTATGCCAAAAACCAATCAAACGTATAACAAGTTATCACACCAGTATATTTATATGAATTCCAACAATTAAAAACATTTTATAAAAATGAAACATATTTTCATGTACAGGTTTACTTTTTGTACATAAATTGTGCCTTTCTGGGGTTTATTTTATAAGAATGTGTTTAACCTCTAGAAAAAGTACACTATATTTTTTTGCATGTGAATCCCAGATTGTTCATTCTTCTTTGCCTTTTCTAAAAATCAGTCCTACCTGTCTTTATCCATGCTGGGTCAGATCCTGACATTTGAAAAAGGAGGAATGCAGTCAAGACCGCAGAATAAAGTGTTAGCCTCGCTGCTTGCAGTTAGCAGCAACTGTAACGACAGATCCTGTCACCTCAGGGCGTAGCTTTGGTGTCGCCCAGAGCTCCCCTACACTTCTGTAGTGCAGAAGAGTACATGCGCATGTACACATTTATCGAGAAATACATTCCCCCGAAAAAACGAAACCGCTTTACTCGTCATTAAAGATAAAATATTTATCTTGCACATCTAAAAATATATATAAATATATTTTAATTTTTCTGTCTGCCACTAAGAGCAGTAATTATACAAAAAATGTATGTAAAAAAAATTTGCATTTAAGATGAAAACAAATAAAAAAAATCCTATTTGAGGAACCTTGTGCTATCCGATTACTAATTGAAAAAAAAAGTCGACAGATAAATTGATTTGCAAAATCGATTGGAATAAACAATTGTATTTCATAGACTTCTTGTTTTAAAACTATATATATTTTTTTTTTATGTCTTCAGGATAATGTGACAGTTTTCCTTAAAGCCTGTGGAAAGCTCGGATTAAACGAGTCGCAGTTGTTTCATCCTGGTGATCTTCAGGATCTGTCCACTCGGGTGACACTCAGGTGAAGTTTTAAAAACATCAATGTCCTTTGGAAGTAATGCCCTCTCCTTTGTCCGACATTAATGTAATTATATAGTCTAGATATGTCTATGGCAACACCCAGAACTTTCTGTAATGGATGTTTTACAACCAGTTTGCTCATAAGGGAACAGGACCACTAATTTGCATCAATAGGACTTCAGCCATGTCCATATAATTTAATTCGTATAAGTTGATACCCTGTTATCTTTTAAACCTGATAAGTTGCTGTTTAGCACTAGTTGCAAATGAGAAGTATTGATACCTTGCAGGCAGCTTTTGTTTTTCTGACTGCAAAGCATCTTTAAGCATCTTGGAAGAGTCATGGTACAGGATGAAAATAAGTATTTTGTTTTTTTCCAGGCGTGATGAAAGCCAGAGGAGACTCAAGAATGTAAGTGTATGCTCTCTGTATTCTTAATCTCAATGTATATAGGCCTTTTGCATGTTATGATCCTGATGAACTGGATAGTCAGTAGTTCAGCAGTGCTTCTACACTCTAGACTAATTCTTGTGTTTCATGACAACTTTAAAGACAGAAAAATGTTTGCTTTTCAAACTAGTTTACCTAGTTTTGCATGCTATCGCTATGTCCAGAGATTAGGACTTCTACATATTTGGTGACACAATGGTAAGCTATAAAAGGTAATGTCTTCTGACTCTTGATTTGCCTGACGTTAGTTTTTGCCTTCTTAAAAATGAAGTCCCTCAAATTGCGTTGTCTTTGCCGATTGGCCGCCTGCTCCGCTGGTTGCATCATTGAGGTTGAAAATGAAATCACATGTGCCTCTGGGCCACCGTAATTTGGTCCGGCTACTTGTAAACGCACAGCCTGCCAAATATTGAAAGTGCAATATCATTGCCATTACACATTCAGTGATAAAATGCCACACGGGACGGATGGGGAGATGGTAATTTAAGAAGGGGATGCCATCCCCCCTCAACTAAAGTACTGGGAATAGTTATCCGGAAAGTCAAATTTTATCTTGCATAGTTTATATATGTCCTTTTTTGTTCCTTTGAAATTAGCATTATAGAGTCATGTTGTAAAATGGATATTCTAAAGATTTTCAAATACAGACCTGCTGTATTACAACCAAACAAAAAATATCCATACATGGTTATTTCATTTCATTATCTATATAGATCAGTGATAGCCCAGGCCCAATGCCTGTCATGAATGTTGTCGTTTTGCATACAGCTTCAGATAGCATCAAAAAATTATAATAGCCAAATTTTTCTTAAACAACATGACAATTGTATAGAGGCTATTAAAATGTTTATCAGATTAAGTTAAACGGTTTTAACCTTTTTTTTTTTTTTTTTGTTAAACCCTTGAATTGTTGACAGAGAAATGTCTATTTGTACTAAGCTGTGTTTTGCTTTNTTAACCTTTTTTTTTTTTTGTTAAACCCTTGAATTGTTGACAGAGAAATGTCTATTTGTACTAAGCTGTGTTTTGCTTTTTGCTTTTTTTTTTGTCTGAATTGGCAAACTATTTAGCAGATGAAAATATCTCATTTGGCATGTGTACTTTATTTTCAAATGTTTGCAATTTTAGGTTCTTATTACAATCTATTGGCTGGGTCGCAAGGCTCAACTTGACACACTCTACAGTGGTCCTCAGCTTAATTTCAAGGCTTTTGAGGGGCTTTTAGGTTTGGCCTTGTCCAAGGTAAGCTGGCTGTTCAACCATGGTGTTTTTTATTTTATTTTTTCATTTTCAGTCCTGTTTTTGTTACTGATCCATATTAACCTTTCCTTTTAAAACCAGGCTCTTGAAGAGGGCACTAATGCATTTGTAAAAGATGGGAGTTACAAGGAGTGCTTGCACTCTGAGGGAGAGGAAAGTCTGCAAACAAGACAGACTTATAATAGAGGAAACTCTTTAGTTGGCTTTGACTGTGTGGACCCCAAAGCTGTCTGTCTACATGAAGAAGGTACATATTTGTGCTATTAAATGTCCTTGTCAATAAACTGCTGTATAACTCTAACCACTAAAATATATATTGCGAGCTGTAAGAATGTATTTCTAGAGACTTTAAGCAGGACTATGGTCTTTTTGTAGCTATTGATGTTCTTTTTGATTCAAACTATGTTAATTTTATTTTTGTTGAATGTACTAGTATACTGCCAACATTTTTAATTTGATTAAAGAAGTATCCACAAGTGTTCAGTCATTTCATAACCCAGTTGCTGTTTGTTTAATTTGGTATTGGAAAAATATGTGCATATGGCTGCCTCTGGCTGGATGCACGTCAGTGTTTCATTGTGACAAGTTCCACACTCTGGTGATAAATGTTTGTGTAATGGGAAGCAGTATAATGCCTTTATGGATGCACCCCAGAGGCTGTCTGAACACAGTCCTCATGCAAAGTTTTCTCTCTTCTTCTTGGTTGGGAGCCTGTTTTGTTTCACTTTAAAAAAAATACATTTTCACTTGTTTTCTTAACTGTACTTTCTGTTTTTAAAACTTTACTGTTTATAAAATACCCCCCAGGTTTTGAAAGTGACGCAGAAGCAGAGCAGGTGTACAAGATGGACAGTACGAAGGTCTCAGCCCAGCAGAGCAAAGGACATGTCCAACCACCGCTTGGTAGAAAACAGGGACGGTCGGAAAAGGCAGCGGATCATACGAGCCAACTTCCAAGGTAACATCAATGTGTTTGCTGCTTTTAACAGAAAGTTCACACACTACTACAAACTTGCTTATCTCCAGCTGACCTTGCACCTGAGAACAGCTGCAGTTATTTACATTCCTCTGCACTGTCAGTGGTGCATTTTTTTATTTTTTTTTAGTGCGTATTTAAACAAACTGTGTATGCAGACATTTGGTCTTTTCAGAATTCCTTGGAAATTTGTTTGGTATTTTGTATCATTCAATTTCTATGGATGCCTGATATAACTGCATTAAAATTGGCTTATTTCTTGTTTTCTAGCATGCATGTCCTTTGCTAACAACTCATGCTTATTTATTTTCAAGTTGACTGTACTCGGAGGGGGGTTGTCCAAATAGTGTTTGTCTATATAATGGTGATGCAGCTAGGACTGTCCCAATACAATTTTCTATCAGAGATACGATACTGACATTGCAGCTCTAGACAACTGACATATACAAATACTGACATTGACATTAATCATATTTGCTTTGACTAATTATGTAGAAGGTTAGGTTTTGAACAAGTGGTATTACTAAAACGGAGAAAAATAGGTATGAGAGCCACTGACCCATGTATTATTAACCAATGGGTTACAGAAACTTAAAATGGAAGCAGTCTTTCTATCAGCATGCATATATTAGATTTTGGATATTGGCCAATATCTGGCTAATATCGTATCAATGTTAATATCTGATTGGGTTTTTCATAGAGGAAGCATGGGATAATGGTGGTGTTTAACTGAACCAGAGAAGTTTGGATTTTGTTTGCGCCATTGAAAGTGTAGGAAAGAAACTGACACATCAGTTAAATTTTTTATTTTTTCTTATCCTTTTTGTTACATTTACAAAGTAGCAGAATTCCTTGGCCCTTTTCTTTCTTTTTTTTTTTTTCTTTTTAAGGATTCGGTACTGTTATTTTTGGATAATTGATAGTTGTTGTTTGTTTTTTATATTGTGGATTAATCAGGGATCTTATGGAATGGGGGTTTCCGAAATCAAGCTTATTTGTTCTAGCTTTTCCTGCTTCTTGAAAGCAGTCTCAAATGTATTAAACATTTTAGATTTAGTAGCAATATAACAGATGGAGCTGGTGTTCATTATGTGGTTTATTACAAAATGCTGGCTAAAACTTAACCTTAACCCAAGCTGTTTTTTGTTTGTTCCCTCTAAATGTCAAAGCATCTGTGCCACAATGAAGTTTAAACGAGGCTGAACTTGGCTGCAAAGCAAAAACTTATATGGTCGTTGCACATGGGCTCTGTGAGGAAAGTGTTAATATTTTACAATTCTCATCCATTTCTGATGTTTACTTTTTTTTTTTTTTTAAGATGCATTTTCTATTGTCCTTACAGACACTATTAACTATTTTGCATTTGAATGCCAGTTATAGTTGTATTGTTCCATAACTACACAGTCCTAATGGCTAAAAAAATACCAGAAAATTCAATTTTAGAAAGGATCTGACTGAAAAGAATAGATTCTTAATCTTGAGAACAAGTATTTATGTGAGAATTGGCAGCAGAGACATTGATCTGAGATCTGTACTTATGGTCAATGGTCTAAATACGTTTTAAATCAAATTATTCAGTGATCAGCAGATCAGTGTAGTGTAAAAAAAAAAAAAAAAAAAAAAAAAACTGTCAATCTTGTCAATTATTGAAAAACAAGTTTTTCAATAAAAGGTTTTTACACTTTGAGGTGGTTTTTCAGTTGTATCCAAATTCTTATATTTTGCAAACCTGCAATGGAAACACTTTTGTCTTATGTGAGTCACTTGATCTGCCTGAGACCTTCCTGCCTTGTAAAAAGATGTATTTGGAAGATGATGGCACAGCATATTTGATTTTTATGAGGAAATTGACCTTTTTTTTTTTTTTTTTTTTTTTTTACACATTTGGTTTGTGATGATTGGCATGATCACAACTAGAGCTTTTGGCTGAAATAGGGATGCATCTCATGATACATACACTGCTGGTATGTTGTTTTTGGGAGTTGTTGTGTGGGGGGAAGGGGGAGACTGTGCAATTTTTTTTTTTTCATTTAATGGAAATAATGCAATTATAAATTTTATTTTCAAAATTGGCAGAATATCCACACAGTTTTGGGTGCATTTGTCACAGAAACGCAGCCAGACTGTCTGTCAGACTTCTGTCAAGTCGGCAGTCTTCCTGATTGTGTGGCCGAGTCCTGACTGACTCACAGTGAAAGATCATTGCAATATTCAGGGAACCTTTCCAGGAGTATTAAATGGATTGCATGATCAGGGTGTGACACCACCAGTCTCCAGTAATGCTTTTACAGTTGTCTAATTGCACTATTTTTACACATAATCTCATTAACTTTTACATCTCTAATTTACTTTTGCTTGCTAAACATAGCTTCTAACATAAGCAGTGAATTGAAAAAGGATCTAGGCAGTGATCAGTCTTGGGTATTTTATTTTTTTTACTGCAGTGTTGTTGATACAGTTTTGTCCCATCAACCACTCTTCACTGGGTTTCCCGCTTGGAGCAGAGAAGAAATTAAAGAACTTTCACCTGAAGCCCAAAACGAGGATGACTCGGAAGATAATTTTAGTGAGGCAGACCCTGTCCAAGATGATTTTTATTTACGAAGACTGAAGCAGACTTTACATCAGACCTCCTTCAATCGCAATTATGATCGCTTTTTGCCTCGATACTGGACCCCTGAAGAAGAGATTCATGTCCACAGGATCTACCTTGGCTCCCAGAAACGGCCCTGGTATCGTAAAATGCTTGGCCTAAGGTCTGTCTTTATCCTACTAAATTAATACAAGGCTAAGCTTTAGCAACACTTCAGTGTTGCGTACAGTAGGTGCTTGGAAAGTGTGCTTAGCCCCTGATCCTTTTCAGATTTTCTTGCTAAAGCAACACATCCAGTGTATTCCATTGGGATATTATATAACAGAGCAGCACCAAGGTCTACTTAATTGTGCGAAGATGTTCAATTTAAATTAAAGGGCTCAACATATGCTTTTATATCCCTTTTAAACTTGTATACTTAAGTCAAATCTGATGCATCTATTTTGATTAGTCCGCTTATTAGTTAATGCAGTATATCTGCATGTAACTAAGTATCTTTATGAAAAGAGCAGTTCTCTGTGAAGCTTGGAGATTTGCTATTAAACCTAAATGAACCAAAAGCACATGGTCCAGAGAAAAAGTAGTTGGACATGTTAAACCAAATTTGGTGTATAAAGTGATTAGATGCTTAGAACATCTCATCAACTGCTGGTCTGTTAATAATTTAGCCAATTTTTCCATTAAAGCAACTGGATTTAAAGTTCCAGATTTGTTTTTACACTGGTTATAGGAATCACAGGGAATTGGTCGTTGTGGTGTTCCCGTCACTTGAGATTCAGCCTTAGGAAAAACTGCACAACAATGTCAGTCCAACAAGTGGCAGTAATAACACGCGGCCGGGTTTCCTTTGACTTCCAGCTTCAGATCTATGCATCTGAAAACTGTATTTCCTACTGTATGTTTAGTGTGTTCCTTGAATTTGAACCTCTAGGTGTCAATATTTAATACAAACTTGTATAAAAACATGTTAAAATTAATTTGTCAAAACAATTAAAGGGGGGTTGACAGACTAACAGGCGGATGTTACATCTGCGGTTAGACAGGAGATATCCCTACAAAGCCTGGTTCAGACAGCAGCAACACTGGATAAACATCATGGCGCTTATGGTGATGGAAATGGTATACGACGTCTACAAACTTACAAAGGTCAGTTTAAGTGGTGGGCTCCCTACACTCACCAGCTTCACATGGAGAGTGATAGAACCAGGAAGGCGCCTTGTAAGTCTGTAGGAGGTGCGCAGGTACAGTAGGAGAATCTGAGATGTATCAGTGGTGCACTTAACAAATCTGGCCTGTCTTGAATAGGAAGAAGGTATGCAATCTTGTTAAGTGGGTGTGAGTCAGTATAAAATTCTGCACATCAGCCTAAAACAAAAACATACCATGCCTTTTAAACATGGTGGTGGCAGCATCATGCTATATGGATGCTTATCTTCAGCAATGACCAAAAGCTGGTCAGATCTTGTAATAAACTAAGATTGAAGCTACACAAGTTTTGAGACTAGTGGTGTTGCAGCTTTCCACAAAAGTATGTGGTCATCTGTTCATTCATGATTTGTTTGTTCAATTTAACATTTGTTACAATTCTGATCCTCAAGCTACATGACAAAAGTAGTCATGACCGTATACGACATGGCGTCTGTGTGCAGCTGCCTCGTGCCTGTCAGCATGCCACTGTGCAGCTGTAACTGCAATGTCGCTTGCCACCATCTGTGTGGAGTCCCTTGACTAATATACAATTCAGGACATTTAGCAAATATGTTTTCATTGTTCTTTTAAAATTATTTAAGTGAAAGGTCTGCTTGTTTTAGCCAATCACCTAAACTACAGCATAATTCTAAAACGTAACTAATTTACTTGATAAAAGATGTTAAAGTAGTTCTTACATGTGCACTGTTAAAGATGTTTATTCCCTTTTGATAATGTTCATGGTCTCGTTGAGTGAACATTATCTGAAAAGAAGAAGGCATTTGGTTGTATTCTACTTATACATTCTTTTGGCTGTAAACAAGTCTAAAAAACAAGTCTAAAAAGTCATTAAACTTCAAAATTTCAATCCAGGTTACAATTTTTGATTATTTTGTGTTGGTCTTTCTCATTAAATCCCAATTGAATACTGTGTTGTGACAAAATGTGGAAAGGTTCATTACTTTTAAATTACACTACAAGCTTATATGAAAATTGTTTTAACAAATAGGAAATTATTGCCTTTATAAATTAATTTGTAATTGTCAAGTATTAAGTCTTCAAGCATTTTCCATGTAATAACCCTCTGGCAAAAAAGATGTACTTAAAATTGCATGAGAAGCTATGCCACTAAAAATAAGCTGTAGTTTGCCTACTACATATAATCAGCTAGTTATGGAATGTGAACATAACCCAAAGCAGACTCTGCTCTGTTTTTATAAATATGTTTTTTATCAACAACAAATTGTTTTTAGAATAATTTCATGCAACATATTTTGTGTCTTTGATTGTAGCCAGAAAACTTTGCATTTTGCTGAAGAGTTGGAGAACACTTCCAGGAGTCTGCCACCTCATATGGTGCAAGATGTATCTGCCACTTCAGGAATGCATCCTAACGCCGTTGAAGAAACCTTTTGCAAACCCGAGATTTGACACTAATTGACACCCACATTTGTGATTTAACACTAGATTGAACATCTGGCTTCATCTTTCCCATGCTTATTATTTTTGCATTCTTATGACGTATATTCCGATGGTGTGTGTGTTTTTTGTTCCCCCCCGTTTGTAAAACTAAGATTTGACCGTTTTGTGCTGTGGTATGTTATGGAACATTTGCTCTCTCCATTTATGGCACTGATGTAAGGATGTTTTACCAGCATGTTGATGACAAGACTCATTTGTTAGTAACTGCTAAACATGAATCATGCATTGCCTCATCTGTGCAGCCATAATAGAAACATGTTAAACCTAACAGCTTTATGTCAGCACTCTCTGCAGTTTGCTGTGGTCTTATATAGCTGTGGAAATAAATTTTCAGTGGGCTAACAAACTGTCAGACTAATTCATGTCTGCTTGATGTTAAACCGGTTCATTTCTCCATCATATTTGGCTTCTAAATTTTTGTTGTAGTGTATACAACTTCTTCTTCCAGATCTCTTATTTTAGGTTTTCTTTTAAGAAATGGCTATCTCAGATGGGTACAAATTATTCACATTTTTTTTTTCTGGTCCTGTAGAGCATGTCAGATTCAGTCTGAGACACCAGTTCAGGTCAACCCTGGCTGGATTTGGTGAGTCAAAAAGCGCTGTTATTCAAGCAAATGTTTAGTTTTTTGTTGTCGTTGCTGCTTCATGTTGGTGTTTTTTTTTTCTCCCATCTGTTAAATGTTCCTTGCTTCTCAAAATGGAGTTCCAGGGTTGCATCCCCGTTCATTTTCCAGACGGCAGGATCTATGCCACTTCAGCATTGTTTTTGTAATCGGTCTGTCTTCCTAAAATTAACTTGTGCCACTGTCTTATTACACCACCTGGTAAACGCTACTGTAGCTTATTTCGTTTTCACATCTGCCTTACTCTATTGCTTACAGCCATGCTATAACTTGTTACTGTACAAGTTATAGCTGTTATGATTTGCAGAAGACATCTGTTAAGTGCTCAGTAGCTGATTGCAATGCTTCTCCCTTCCTGCACTCTGCTACCCATTTATCATGTTCGTATGCTCAGCATGTTTTTACAGCTGGCATAGCTGTGATCTGTTGTCATTAAGTGCTGCTATCAAATATGCTGATTATGCTGGCACTTATTCTCATGTAAGAAAAATATATCATTCTTGCTCTTCTGCATCATGTTGATCACTTTTTATTCACTTGTAAACATGTTAATATGATGCAGTGGCACAGAAATGAAAGACCGACTAGGAAACCTTATATGAACATCTCTCTGAAATACTTTAACTTTGTCTCAGGTGTGCATTTGCTTTTCCTGGGCAGCACAGCAACCAATATTGTTTTCATTCATCAATATTTCAACATTCTCTCTCTTTTTGTCTCTCTGAACTAGGAGCAAATCCCTCAGTGACATCCCTATGGTGTACCCCGTGCGTAAAGTTTCAAATGGAAATGCCATTTCTGATAAAGGCCAAGACACCAGGGACTGGAATCAAGAAATTGAAAGAAACTGTAGTGCTGCTGCCAGGGACAGTGAAGTTCAGTGGCAGGATGTAAGTCCATTTTGACAAAGTGTCTCATTATATGGTCTGTATTTGCAGTTTCATGTATTACAAAGTCTAATTTTGCCTTTTATCACCCTGGATGAACAAAACTGTTGAATTTTTAAAAGGTTAGTTAGAAGTAAAACCATTTGAATATCTGTTTTACAAAGTCCTGTGTACCTCTTAAGAGATAAACTTAAATTTAGTCTTCCCAAGGAGATGCCATATAGAATACCCCTGAGGTTTCACAAATACTAGTCATATTGCAAATAGTAGTTGATTGCAGTGAGAATCAAATAAGGTGTTGACTTTAGATTCTGCTTTAGGATTTGACGAGGTGGAAGAATCGACGCAGGAGCACCAAGTCTGAACTGTACAGGAGGTCATTTGAAAGGGAGCATATCTTTAAAGAGATGACCAATGGGGCTGTGAGAAATTATGAGGGTAATGAAGCACCAGGAGGGCCTATAAAGAGGTATGTGAATGGTACATTAAGATAGAAAACCTTATGTATAAAAGGAAAACTAGAAAGGAAATATGCAACTTGGAAGGCAAATCGACACTATTGATGATTTTATTTTCTTTGTCCTTTATTTAGAGATCAGTCACCATGGCGGCACAGCTCCTTACCACGTCCTTATTCCGTTTCTCCATCCAAACCTCTGAGTTTTGCTCTCAGGCCACATACAGAAGCAATTTCCACCAGCAGCTATGCCACTGACACCCCTTTCAGACCCCAAAGCTATCCACAGGTAAGGTTACTTACCTGTAAATAGTTCTAGCTTAACTTTTATCTCAACAAAGGTTTATTCTACAACTATTCTAAGTATTTTTAACATCACCAGATTTAAGGGACAGTCTTTCAAAAACTGTTTCTCCATGTCTGTACAGGAGTGTCACCAGGGAGCCAGTTCTAAATCTGGTGGGTCCATCATCGGAGGGGAGCCTGCCCTTGCCTCCTTAGCTTCAGATGGAAGAGCTGGAGTTACTACACCTTCTCTACACCAAGCTTTCACCTCTCAGACCCAAGTGAAAGCCCTAGGCAGCCAGTCTACCTTTCATTCCAGTTCTGGACAGGTGCAACCACAAAGATGTTTGCCAAACCAGATCTCCTCTTCTTTTAACATCATACAGCCTGAACTGTTTGACTCTGAAGAATCCGCTACAACCTGCAATTCTGCTTCATACATGCATTCCTTCAGCACTGATCTGAAAGGGAAAACTTTTTCTCCAAATGTAGTTAGTCATTCAGGAGTTGATGTTACTGATGATTTGATCGAGAAATCTGATGGAATTCCAAAATCATATCCAAATTCAGCTGAAGATGGAAGGGTCTGTAGACAGGAGTCTGCAAGGCTTTCCAAGTATTTGTCCAGAAATGCAACATGGTCCAGCTCTGCCAGTCTTCCTCGTGGGTACCGTCGGTCTGAGGGTTCCACTCGTCTCTCCACTCCGATCACAGCCAGACCCTTCGAGGCAAAGCCATCCGGAATATCCACACTACCAAAACAACACAATGTGAGTTCACACTCTACGATTAAAAAAAAGTGTCTCTGTGCTAAATTAAGTGTGTGTATATTATATTAAATTCTTTACTTTCCTTGACATTATTTTACAATTGGTAAGATGGCTTTAATTACCCTGAAAAGGTCCATAGTTGTAAAGAGATTGCATTTCTGAGTTTAGCAGTAGACTTGAATGGGCGAGTTGTCCACATGAAAAAAATATATAATTAATCTGAAAATGCAAAACAGCATTTGGTAGATGCAGTATAATGGTTTGGGATGAAAACTTCAGACTAGAACATTTGGCTTGCTGTCACTGCAAAATGTTTTTTCGACAGGATGACATTCTTCAACTAGTAGGAAACTCCACATCTCTGCTCCTATGGATGATACGGCTTAGCCCCCATAGAGCAGGATTTACCATATATATTCCCAGAAATTCCTAGTTAAGTGGATGGAATAACCTGCGTGCTGTCCTGACAAAAACACTTGCTGGATCCCCTTGGATGAGCTGTTAAGTAAGAAATGCAATAACACTGGCTGCCGTCTATTAGCTGAAGAATCTGACGTTGTTCCACAAACGTTTAAGGAAAAGCTGCTGACCAGTACACGTTGCTACACTATTGGTGCTCGATTGTTTAGCCTAATATTGATGCTGCTGGTTACTGCATGAATAGAATACACTGCTCAAAAAAATAAAGGGAACATGTAAACAACACGATATAACTTAAATTAAATCAAACCTCTGAAATCAAACTGTCCACTTAGGGAGCAACACTGATTGACAACATTGATTGACAATCAATTTCGCATGCTGTTCTACAAACGGAATGGACAATTGGTGGAAATTGGCAGTTGGCAAGATGCACTGAATAAAGGACTTGTTCTGCAGGTGGGGACCACAGACCACCTGTCACTACCTATGCTTTCTGGCTGATGTTTTGGTCCCTTTTGAATGTAGGTGGTGCTCTCACATTTGTGGTATCACGAGAGGGACAACCCACACAAGTGGCTCAGGTAGTGTAGCTCATCCAGGATGGCATATAAAGGCGAGCTGTGGTAGGAAGGTTTGCTGTGTCTGTCAGCATATTGTCCAGAGGCTAGAGGTGCCACCAGGAGACAAGCCAGAACACCAGTAGACGTGGAGGACGCCGTAGGAGGGCAACGACCCAGCAGCAGGCCTGCTACCTCTACCTTTGTCCAAGGAGGAACAGGAGGAGGTCTGCCGGAGCTCTGCAAAATGACATCTAGATGGTCAAAAATGTTCATGTGTCTGCACAAACAGAAATTGACTCCATGAGGATGGTATGAGGGCATCGCATTCATAGCTGAGGGTTGTTCTCACAGTCCAACACTGTGCGGTACTGAAGACACAATGGAGAGCAATATGCAGCCTAAAACATCCTTCAGTTTGGCAGTTGGTCAGTAATGGTGTGGGGATTTCTTAGAGAGTTGTACATGCTTCAGTGCACCTAGTCAGAGGTAGCATAACTGCCATTAGTTACCAAGATGAGGTTCACAGACCCATAGTGAGACCATATGCTGGTGCGGTTGGCTCTTGGTTCCTCCTAATAAATATTGATGGAGTTTGTCACCAGTTCCTGCAAGATGAAGACCTTGAAGCTATGGACTGGCCCACCTGTTCCCCAGACCTCAGTATGATTTAGCACATCTAGGACCTCATGTATTGATCCATCCACCAATGTCACATTGCACCACAGACTGTCTGGGAGTTGGCGGATTCTTTAGTCCAGGTCTGGTGGGGACATCCCTCAGGACACAATCTGCTGCTGATTAGGTCATCAGGAGCATGTCCTGCCATTGTAGGAAGGTCATACAGGCACATAGAGGGAACAAACAATACAGAGCCTACAACTGACCTGTTTAGGGACATTACATCAAAGATAGATCAGCCTGTAGTGTGTTTTTCCACTTTAAGTCTGTGACTCCTAATCCAGGCCTATTTATTTCAGCAGTGTAATAAATTGACATGGTTGGGGTACTTTAGAAATGTAGTCATCCAATCCAATAAATGGCACCCAAAAAAAAGTTTGTCTTAATGCTAAGAGACTTATGCTACCAAGATTTTTGTGACTATTTCTGCTATATATTATCTTATAGTATATTTTGTGTGGTATTCATTGTCCTAATGAATTAGGAAAAGTAGAACCTGAGCTGTCACTTTTTGTTAGGTGGAAAATCAAAAAAAAAATATTTTTTAATTCCTTTTTTTTTTTTTTTTTTTTTTTACATTTTTAAACCTAATGTGTATGCTTTCTATAAATGTGCTTGTTTCGGTGTGTGATCATGTTTGTTATCCTTAGGTTGACAGTCTGAGTTTAATTGTAAACACTGGGGATTCCCATTCCTCAACCAAACCAGCTCTGAAAAGGCAGACTGCAGCAGCGCATCTGCGGGGTCAGTATCAGGCCTCGGTTAGGCAGAAGAAGGCTAACCAGGTGAGGCAGAATGCCGCAGGACAGCGAAAGGAAGTGAATGATCAAACCTTCCCTCAGACTTATACAAAATCATCTTCCAACAACAAAAGCTCTGTTCTTGCATCTAATGCAAGTACAGTCTTAAAGGTATGTTTTTGTTTTAGGTAAAAGTGAAATGTATTTCAGTCTGACTCTGCACTGTGCACTGAAAATGTTTTCTATGATAATTGTCAAGATCCTATTCATCTATTTACAACAAGAATAGCTTCCACCTGCTGAGACAAATTAAGCTGATCTTTTAATGCTTCCGCTTAATTGCATAATCCGCTGTAAAGTACTTGTTTGTTCACTGTTTGAAGAGACGTGCACTGAAATTAAATGCTTACAAGTGAAATTGGTGCAAAATATTTTATTAAGCATTAAGGCATCTTACTCAAATATTTTAATGGCTAAAAAGATAATGTATTAAAAACAGTCCTACCAAAAGATTGAAATTGACTGCAACCTTTCAGATGGTAGGTTTTACATCATGAAGATATAAATGCTGATTTTAAATTGGTACACTATATGTAAGTGAAGCACCTTAACAGAACAGTTTCCCTTTATATCCTTTGCAAATGTAAATTGTTAGTTATTTTCATTCATAATTTAAAATGTGCTTCATTATTGATTGCAGGGCTTCATTTTAATTGACAGTCCTATAAAATAACTGATGTCAATGTGCATATTGTCATTACGTACATGGGAAGGTAGTGGTAATGGTTTTCAGTTAGTGGGACCCTGAAAAATTTACTGCTGTATATTGAAATAAATAGGGTCAATTATTTGGAATGAAATTTAATCTTTTCAGATCTTAAACAATCACCTGTCATCTAACTTCAACAAATCAAAAAGCATTCAAATCTTTAAAGCCTAAAGGTGGAGGTAATGTTCTTTAATGTCATTTAAAATTTGGCCAGCTGGTGCCACTCTAAACGATGTCTTTGCCAGAGAAATGCTATACAACACTGTTAAAAGCTTGACAGCAGTTCTTTTAATCCTTGCTATGCCTCCTTAACTGTTGTGGTTTAATGGTACCTAAGTGGATAATTATGTCCACTAACTTTGAATCTCGAGGCATCTTATTTCTATTCTTTTTAATAAACACATTTTAGCATCTTTAGACGGTAAAGTGTCTTATTTTCCCTACTGTAGGCCCATAACACTAATGGAGAAGCCTAATAACTTAGAAAGTCATTATGCACCAAGAATACTGCAACTGGAGGCAGAAATTTCAATTGTGTTCAAATGACGTTTGTATATTCACCTACTTTCTTGTATATTTAGCTTTTTTTTACATTTAGGGATGCATTTTATTTATTCTATGTACCCATAATAATTTTGTTTGAGTTTTAAAAACAAATACACATCATCATTATTATTACGTTCCTCCATTCATCCCTATACTGCATACATTGTTTTAGCCTTATGTAGGAAGGGAAAGAATAACTTAATCGGTTTGTTACTGACTTGCTACCGCAGCTGGTCACTTGAATTAAGGTAATATCCCTTAACAGTTTTTGCTTGTGCAACACTGTTGTTAAAATAAAGTGTTACAAATGACCACTAATTGGGTTGTTGGGTTTGTTATAATCATAGATTTCTTTTAAGCTACATCATTGGTTTGCAGACTTTGTTCTAAAAGGCTTATTTTTTTTGTATAATTTAATTCCTAATAAGATGCAGATTAGATATTGGGTAGCAAACATTTCGTGACAAAGCAAATTAATCATAACCAAATTGATCTAGTGGTCAAGAATCATTGAAGAAATGTATGGGGGGAAAAAGACTGTTCAGGGTATCCATTACTGCACTAGTGTAAGAGGTTTCTTATTTCTACCTGAAAGCACAGGACCTCAGGTTACAGGTGTCACCTTTACCTACGTGAGCATGTGTTTTTAGGTTGATCACAGTGACATGAGAGTGAGCCTGACTCTGAAACCAAACAGCGTCCCAGACTTTGGCTTCCAAACTCACTGGGACTGCACAGGGGTGAGAATAAAAAGCATTCAACCAGGTAAGACTTTAAAATGTATCCTCACTTGCTTAATTATTGTTTCTAGAATAGGGCAGGGTGAATTTTTTATTTTTATTTTTTTACTTGTCACAAATATTAATTCGCCACCCCCAACCAAGAAGGCAATCTTATTTTAAAGAACATCTAGTTGTGAAACATGGTTTTAAAACGGTCTGAAATGAAAATATATGGCTAATTTTGTGTAGCTAGTGATTTTATATTTACTTCAGCTCTGTGTATAATTAAACATCTAATAACTAATGTTATGGAGATTCAAAATGTGCACTGGTGAGGAAAAATCAATATTTTCCAATTTTATTTGATAAAAAATTATTTTATTGATTAATCCCCCAGCCATATTCTAAAACAATACATTATTTGTTGTCAATTGGCATTAAGCCTAGACTATTTTAATTTGATATTTATCATCCTAAAACTTTGTTCTAACTTATGTGGTAAATGCCAACCTCAGGACACAACTATTTGCTAAAGATACATTTTTATTAGACGAGCCTCTATAAATATGTTAGTTCCGACAAGGGCACAACATATTTGAGGACACATACAGTAGGCAAAACTGAGGGTCAGAAAAATATATTTTATTTTAAAACTCTTGTGAACTTTTCTTTCGGTTCAGCTGCTTTGGATGTTGTGTAGAGGAAAAAAAAGAGAATTAAATATCCCCCCCCCCTCAAAAAAAAAAAAAAAAGTATTAACAGAAAGTCGGACCAGAACAGCGGATCAAAAAGAACAAAATGGTACAACTGGGGGCCAACCCTATACAGGGCAGTCCAAAGCCCTTACTAGTACCAGATTATAGCAAAAAATTATCTACTGCAAAAAAAGAATCAAACAGGAGAACCGATACCACCAAACCAAAATCACAACAAAAACAAAGTCTAGCAAAAATGCCGAATGGCAAGCCGGGGATGTCAGCTGCGGCCTACAGCTAATAGAGACGGGCCCACCTTTTCAGGACGCATCCTCGGTGGTGGTGATGGAGGAGCGAGAAGAAGAGCAGTAGAGTCCATCCCAAACATTTCCAAACCCAACCTATCAATAAGCGGTCCTACAAAAACTAATTAACGAGGCCAAATTAATTACAAAAAGGAAGTAGGTAAACTCCAAAGTATACTAAACAAAAAAATAATTCAACTAAAGTCCATACTAAACAATCTAGAAAGAAAGATAAAAAAAAATACTTGTATGCCTAAAGCACATAACAGCATTAAAACTTCCAAATGTGTATCTAATGTGTATTTAAAAACTCAACCATGAAAAATAAGATGCTACACAGGTACCACTTGCTGTATATGTTGCCCAATAGCTTGGTTACTCGCCTACTTGTTAACTTTGAGAAGTGAGCTGCTGTGGCTTCATTTCAACTATAGTCAAAATGTTCTTTAAACTGATATCTGACTTTTTTTTTTTGCTCCTCTTCCTTATATTCATCCTACAGGCAGTCCAGCAGAGCACTGCCAGCTCTGTGTGGATGATGAGATTGTGGCAGTTGATGGAGTTGCTGTTGCACATATGACCTACAGTCAGTGGAAGGATAAAATGGCATCCTCCCTGGATTCTGGCAGTTTAACAATGGACATTCGGCGTCATGGCATCAAGGGTAATAAAAAGTGACAGCAATGGTGGTGATGATGATTACTACAGAAGTTGTCCCAATTTTTTGATTCAGAAATTGTTAAAACACATTTTTTATTTTTTATTTTTCCAGATTGGAGCACGAATAAAGGAAGTAATGACAACCAGCCAGGACACAGCATGTTGACCCTTAATCTGACTTCTACGGCACCCATTTTAATAGGCCGCTCCGATCACCATGCCAACAGTGCAGCCTCTGCAGAAATGGCAGACACACAAGAATCTCAACTTAATGGGCAGACAGACAATGTAGGTCTATTCTGACAATCTCATCTCACAATTTAGCCTTTAAACTTTGCCATTTTTTCCACTTGCTGTGATTGTTCCTTCATCCTCCTAGGTAACGCAAGAAAAAGTCATCGGTGGGCCCTTCTCTGTTAACACAACCAAGGCTAGATGTAAAGGTAGCTATTTCTACATAAATCATTTCGAATGCAGACTCATTCTCCTTTATAATTCAGTCTTTCTTTCCATGTAGAAAATGTTAGTATAACTAGAGAAAATCAAAAAAGGAGGAAAGAGTTTTTCACACAGAAAGGTAAAATTAGTTCTTGTTTGTACAGCTTGGAAGGCTTTTGCTATGCTTTGCTAGATTTAGTCAAAATAAATACACATTTCCTTAATTGCTTTTTGTTTACTTAAATGGCTACTTTGACTGAATTCATTTAGGAAGTCAGAATTCTTCCAAAAGGGCATAATAATATTCATACGAGCAGTTTCATTTAAAGTGTACACATAAACTGCTCTCCACGCACCTTTTTATGTTGTATATTCTCTCTGACTTGCTCGTGGAACCTGTATCAATTTGTGACTTTAAGTTTGGAACCAACCAGAGGAATTAAACTGCCTGTGATTTGACTGCTTGACTGCTTCTTAAGACAGTACAGTTATCTGCCTAGTTGTGGCTAGTATTGCTAGCAAAGTTAAAAAGTAAAAGTATTGATAAATTCAAGTCATCCTTAAGCAACTTAGTTTAACACAATCATTCTGTTCTGGCAGCGGTAGCAATATTCTATAAAAGGATAGTCTAATTTGAACTTCAGATAACATAAACTAACCTTATCCTCACTTTTATACTGTATTAAGAAAAGTAAGGCTTCACTCTTGTTTAGAAATGTAAATGCAAGTCAGTTTGCAGCTACTGTAAGAATTTTATTCTTGAAGAGAACACTGATAAGCCTAACGATGCAGTTGTTGACATAGTTAGCCGCAGCTAGGAGGAAAACGGTACCATCTGTGTGAGATTTCCACAAAAGTGGCAAATCACCGGCAGCTTATTCTCTCTGTTGGGCTCCACCCTCAAAGTGATAAAGGTCGACACGAGCGCACAGACAGATCCCCATAAGAGTATGAGAGAATCAAAGGTGCATTAAAAGAAAGCATGCAATTATGCTGGTGTTATATTGGGGCAGATTATATTAAATCTGCATGACTACAATGTTAGAAATGTGTGAGAAGAATAGTTTATATGCATGCATATTAAATAAAACTGCTCATATCGGTGTTATGCGTGTGCACTTTTAGCAGAATTCTGACCATATAATCATTTAAAAACCTGAGGGGGCGTTTGAGATTAGTCAAAGTTGAGTTTTGTATAGACCTTTCATAATACAGAGTATCAAGATTAAAAGGTTCCTGCAGGTTTGAGCAAAATTGTGCTAGCCTTTGCAAAGTGCTTAATCACGCCACACAATCACAGGACTGATACCACTGATCCTGTCCTTTTACATTTAATCTAATTATGCAATGGTTTGCAACTTACAGATGCTGTAGTGAGCGTTTTGTAATTGACAGCTTTATTTTAAAATTTGAGGTTCTTTGTGAATTTATCTGGCCAGAATCGGACCATGAATATATGGCCGATTTTCCCAATGTTGTAACTGTCAATTTTTGGATTTGAAAATTTTACAATATCTGCTGTAAACCATCCGACTCCCCCAGTCAAAGTCAAGTATCTCTTATATTTTTAGATGTGCCCATGAAATTTATACTTGTCAACCCATTGCAAACCAAAATTAAGTGATCAGATTTTTCATGCAGTGCTAGCAGCACTATTACTACCTTTTTTATCTTGATGTATAATATTCTATAACACAATAATCTGGGAAATTTATGGGACTCTGCCTATACGGAAGAGCGACAGTAAAGGAGGATAAAATACGGTCGAAACAGGAGACTTGACAGCCACACCATGTATCAAGCTGTGGTTGTTGCTTTACGTGACTTCTCTCCTACAATTGTTTCTCTCCTCATGCTGTGCAGGAATCAGCTCATGGGTTTACTTGTGTGGTAAATGCTTGCTTTGTGTTGAGTTCATGTTTGTTTTGAGCAGCTTGCTAGATGCTAAAATCTGGAAATCCACCATTTGTTGAGCAGCAGCAAGGAAAACCAAATGGTTTAGAATTTGTCAGAATGACAGATGAATGCCTTTTCTTTTTGTAGTTTTTGTTCTGTGCTTGAACAGTTTCCATCTGAGTGTTTTTCATTGTGCTGTCTTCAGGCTGGGGAAATATCAGTGTGCTGATGTAAAAGCAGCATTTCATTTATAATCTGGGTCCAGTTAACTTGCAACAAGTTGCTTTTACACATTTATTCTGATAAAAATGAGCATAGAAAAAAATCTTGTATTCATATTGGAGTATATGTTTGTGTTTTGGCCTCCAGAAGTCACTGTAACACAAACCAAGATGTTCTGTTTTCATTTTGAAAACAGAACCTTAGGTACAGCCTAAGGGAGGAAACAAAGATGGTGTATGTGGTGTAAAATATATATTTAGCATTCTAATATATCCCCAGACTCTGGTGTCAAATCTACTGAATATAAGGCTGCACTTTTTTTATATAAAGTAATGTCATATCCTCTATGATACTTTCACACAGGAGGCTCGGAATCAGCAATATCTGATGTAAGTTAAATAATTTATTTATTTATTTATATTTTTTTATATATATATATATATATATATATATATATATATATATATATATATATATATAATTATTCCATTGCTGTACCTGAGCTATGTTTATTTCAGACGAACATCCATGTGATTTGAAAATTACAACCTGTTTTTGCACTTCCAGATTCAGGTGCCTTCCCTCAACCCATCCTCATCCAGCTGGGCTTGGGACTGTGAGGAGGATCGTAGGCGGCAGGAGAAGTGGCAGGAAGAGCAAGAGCGCCTTCTGCAGGCAAATGCTTTAATTCAATCATAATATACTGTTTATTATAGGAAAAACTACAATTTTTTTTTATTCCTTTAGGAGCAGTACCAGCGAGATCAAGAGAAGTTGGAGGCAGAGTGGCAAAGGGCACAACAGGATGCAATGGAAAGCGAGACGCTGAGGGTAAATTTCTTAAACGCTCAGTTTATGATTTTAGTATATTCCTAAATCTGAATATACTGGCATCATACCTTCACTTGCTTTTTGGTCAGGAGGGTTTGTGTACACACAGCCAAATAGTTAATGTTATCTAATGGTACTGGTATAAGTTTTCACAGCTTGTCGGCCATCTAAAAAAATGCCAAAAAACAGAAAAGCAACCACTACGGTAGCTTTTAAAATACAATCTAGTTCTTAAAGATTATCTTGACCAATAAGCAATTTTCATTTTGATGCTTAGATATGAAAGAATTGACCATCAATGTTAAAAGTGCCAGTAGTAGATATTTTTAACATGATCAAGTTCAGTCCTTAAACGGTTTTGCTCTCAACTAAAACTAGAGAACTTTCAAATTAAGCCATTTAAAATCTTTTTGTTTTTGGATGCATGTTTTTAAGATAGAAGTAGTTACCTGTAGTTGTAAAAGTAAACATGCATATTAAACTCATTTGTGATGCTTGTTGATTAATTTTCATTAGTTTCACATGCAATGAACTTTATTTAAGGCAAATAAAAACATATGAACTCAATAAGGGGAGTGGAGGCCTAGTGGTTAGAGCATAGAGCTTGGAATCCTGAGGTTCTGAGCTTGAGCCCCACTCCCACAGACTGCCGCTCTGGGTCTCTGAGCATGACCCTTAACCCCACACTGTTCCCCAGGTGCCGCACAATATCAGCCCACTGCTCCTGAAGGGGATGGGTTAAATGCAGAGGTCAATTTCTCCAATGTGAGATCAATAAATTTCAATTATTACAAAAGCAAAAATCAAGAAGATGAATATGGACAGAATAAATTGGTTTTCCAGTTTAAAGTTAACGAGTGATTTGCTGGTTAGCTTCCACAGTCTCCCCTGTTAGAATCTTTTATTTTTTCTAACCAGGAAATGCTAATTATTCAAGCTTGTTTAAAAAGTGTTTGTTTTGCTTCATTTTAAGTGATATGTGGCATTGCTCTGTTAATATTTGTTTTTTGATAGAAAAAAATTGGTGTTTTTTTTATCTCTGTAATGTACTCGTTACATCAGCTCAAATAGTCAAAGAAGAAGGTGCCAAAGGAAGGAAAAGGTGCATGAGATATACTTTTTTTTGTATACATAATATAAATTTCTTCCCCCAACAGGTCAAAGCAGTGGTTGGCTTAGTTAGTTACTGTTCTTGTCAGTTAATGGGTTATTTGGCTTTTGTTTTATTCCCTACCAACACAAATGCTACATCCAAACACAATTGTAATTTATAGGAGAATGCTGTTGAGATGGGCAGTGGTCCTGAGCTGTTTGCCAGTTCCCAGCTTTATGCAAACGGACTGACAAAGGGAAAAAAAGAAGAGAAAGTGAATCTTGATGGAGAATATCAGAAAGAAGCTGGACTGATGCATCCCAGTATTGCCCACAGAGTGCAGAGTAACAGGATTACTGAGAAAGACTGGTAAACAAGCTTTTCTTTAAGTGTTCTTGAAAGCAAACGTATGAAATGACAGACATTGCATGATCTCCAATGTTTTTCTTTCCCCATTTCATTACTGCTGGGTCATCTTGTGCTTTGGCTGGGCCTTTTTGCTCCTATTGCTGAACATCAGGGCTGAGGGTTCCAGTGGTTTCGCTCAGCTGTCCCATGCTCACAGGTCTGAACAAGCTCAGCTCAGTTTCCACTTATTATTGCACTCTGCCTTCATCCCCTTGCTTACAAACACAGCATATTTCCCTGTAGAAATTAGTCTTGATATAATGTTATTGACTTTTGATGCATTTTGTTTTTCTCCTTTTAACTGCACCGGAAATTAGTTTCTTTTAGGGTGACAAGTTTTAGAATAATCTGTAAAAAGTAAAGCTTAGGGCTGTGCAATATTTATTGCAATTGTTACCTTATAAACAGAAAATGTTTCCAAAATGTTTAATAATTCCACTAAATTCTGATCCTTAACTCTATAATATGGGAGGTATAGGCAGAGGAAAGGATTAACTAATTAGCTAAACGATGCATGGTTGGCTGGGTTTTTAAAGGTTATGTCCAAACAGGGTTAGGGCTTTAGTTTAAGTTCAGCCTTTTTATCCTTTGTCCCTATTTTAAATCATTTGAAAAATGTATTAAGATATCAATATCAGTCAATATAAATAATTTTGTCCACCATATGGTACAGCCCTAATAGAGCCATCAACAAACTTCTAGCAATAATGTGGAGCTAGAAATGTCATATTCTTTAAATCTTTCTAACAGGGCAATGTCCATGTCGACTCCGGTTTTATCTGGACCCTGCAGACAATCAAGAGGTTAGTTGACCCTACTCCATCCTTCTCTTTTTGTTGCAATGGGCTAACCTCTAAAATGTTAGGTTTAGGTGATCCAAGGAAAAGAAGAGGGTTAACCATGTCAAAAGCTGAGAGGGAGAGACAGCAGATTTTGGAGGAGATGAAGAAGAGGACTCAGCTTCTGACCGACAACAGCTGGATACGCCAACGCAACGGTGGATTTCATAAAGATGATGATGTTGGCACCGCCATGAAGAGGTAATAATAAACTAGGTTTTTAACTCACTTTGCGTCCTGGCTGTCTTTTAGATCGTTTTGTGGCCATCTCTCCACAGATATGAGTCTCTGGACAACCTGGATATTTTCCATCAATCCCCAGACTGTGCTGCAACATTTACTTACCCTCGCCCCAGTTCAGCTGCTGGAGGTTACAGTGCTCAGACTAGGACTGCCTCCTCACGCTACAGCACTGGCTCGTTGTCTTTCCAGAGACATGTGAACATGGAGTCCTCTCATCAACCCAGGTAAACAACTCGTGTTGTTTAAATTTTCCCTACCTTTGGTGTGCAAGTGTTTTTCTCCTTCTTTTCCCATATGGTGGCCTTACACTGTTAACATGTGGCGCCCCAGGATGGTCAGTGGCAGGAGGACTTGCTGTGTGTGTGAGCGTGTCCTGGGTAGTGGGGCTGCGATGATCATAAAGACCCTTAGTCTCTGTTTCCACCTGACCTGTTTCCAGGTGAGAGGTTAAGGCCTGGTTAGGGTGTGGTCACAAAACTCTTGTCGCTTCAAATAATCGGACCAGGCTGCCTGCTTTTAATTTTTTTTTGTCGGGTGGGGGGGTCCTTCTATTGGGATGTTTCTCCTTTTTGACTCTGTCCAATGAAATCAGAACTTTCAATTTGTAGTGTTCATTATTCTTGCTTCGCCTGCATAATGGTTTGTGTTTAAGTCTTTAAAGCCTCTGCAGTGGTGTCTGCTCTCTCAGAAGTAGTGATAAGTGCTCTTTCTGTTCCAGGTTCTATTTTAACTTGTGTAATTGGCCAATGGGTGATGACAGTACTCTGTCATGCTTCGCTTTTAGACGTTAATTGTAAATGTCACAGGCATGGACAAATTGTTCATTAACCAGTAGATGTAAAATGACTTTCCTTTTTGTTACTGAGAGTAACTTGCACACAGCCATGCATCTCATGTTCACACGGAAACAGACATCTGCTTTGTGCTAAGGTGGTGGACAGTTTGAAGCAATGTTGAGACATTTCAGATCAGCTGGGATCTAAAATTGGCCCTGATCCCTTTCTCACTTCTCCATCCTGCTCTTAGTGTGTGGGCTGCAATCGACACCTCGGAGGAACAGAGACTGGAGTCCAGGTTCGCATCCATAACAGGAGGCCCTACTGTGATTACTGCTATTTCCAACTCAAGTGTAAGTATTGGCCTTTGCAAGACTGACCCTGACTGATTTACCCCAAATGCAGGAAACAAATAACCTCTTTGTCTAATAGAGGATAAACAGTATCCAAGTCAATAAACATGCAGCCTTTTTTATTTATTTCTCCTGTTGGGAAGGAAATAAAGACACTTGATCTTTTTTGGAGAAATTACTGTTTTCGTTTTTTTTAAATTAAATCTGATTTTACTGTGTTCCATTTTAGACTCTGCCCTCCGCATGTGACCAACACGCTGTGCTGCAGATACAAGATTAGGGTGTGGAAAATGGTGTCATACCTGATATACATTGTTTTTCTTTCTTTTTTCATGATTATTTGTACAATAAACTGATATGTGCTATCTTAGGTCTTGGAATACACAACTGTTGGCTGATTTTATCTGATAATGGTGTATAGCTGAACTGTGTTTCTGCTAATTTAATTGCAAAAACTAGATTTAATATATACATTTAAAAATCAAATTTTTTTCTGTGATGTAATTTGCTTGTTAATCAGAATCTATTTGCTGTGTGTGGGGTTTAAATATATCAGATGTTTATCAAGATGCATAAAATGTTGAACATTTAAACAATGTACTAAAGCACTTCCTGTTCACTTAAAAGTCAGAGTGCACCGTGGGGTAACTCATTGATACAGTGTGTATGTTTCTCAGAGGATCATTGTTGTCTTAATTATAACATTTGTCAATAAAAGTACACTACACAAACTACCTGGGTTTTCCATAATGTTTTATAACCACATGATGGCAGCGTTGGTCTTGGAATGAAACTATCTCATACTGTTGATAAAAATGGGAGTTTCTTTTGAATATAACCAAATGATTTCATGCTACTAGTGAAGACCTTGTAGACTTTAAAAGTGGTTTCCTCTATGGAATTTCCAGAAGGATTCATGCTTTCAGTAGATCTGTGTTCGGTGGGCTTTGCCTCGTGTCACCAAAAAGTGAAAAGTCGGCAGAAGAAGCGAGACCAAAATAAGGAAATGTGCAATTATTTGAATGGCAAAGGAAGTCTTCTTGCCCTGGCTGAGGGAAGACGTGTCTGTTTTTCTTTTTCTTTTTTTTTCCTTCTTCCACTTTGTTGCATATGCAGCAACACTGTGTATTACTTAAACATTTCTCAGAACTGACAAATGGTTTCTGCTTCATTGCTTTAATGTTTTTGAATAAGGATCTTACTGAACTGGTAACTACCACAGATAAATGTAGACTAATAAACTTACTTGGCTAAATTCTTGTATTAAAGGATTTTAGTTTTTTTTTGTTTATCCATTTCTATTTGCAAATTACATATTTACGTTATGTACTGCATATTAACTCTACTGGGTAATTGAAAAAAAATCTCCAGTGCAAAAGAAAACAGTTTTAGCTTTAGATATGACCTTTGTAGAGCAGGAGGGGAGTAGTCTTTCACCAGTGGAGAGGCATTTCTTCGATTCTAGCTTCGCCCACTACATGTTTGTCCCTGAACAAAGCCCCAAACCATAGCTTACCCCCGAACCGGCATATGTATGTGTGTTTTGTAGTTTAAAATAACTGAGTGTTAAAGACTGAAAAAGCTGGGATAAAAGGCAGCCCAGTTGCAGGAATTTAATAACTCCACTTTTACCAGTCATTTAAATATACAAATGATCTCATAACTTAGTGTCACTTGTATCAAACTCTGCAAATGGACCCGTTTTTCATTACCTCAAACTATGGAAACCTCATTCAGTAACCTCTGCTTCTGCTATTGGGACAGCTGTTTAAAGCTCCTCTATAATGAAGCTGGATTGCATTACCATTTTACAACACGTGGTTGAGCCCAAGTGCTTTTAAAATGGTTTAAGAAGATTAAAATTAACGTTAATTTGATGAAAAAAATTGTATGGCTGTTGCAGAGTAAAAACTGACTTTTTTCTGTCGTAGGCTCTTCAGTGTAAAAATGCTTTGCTTTAAAAGGCTTTTTTGTTTGTTTTTTTGCTAACTACACTTGGAGAAAATTGTCTTTTATTTTACAGAATCCAACTTAAATGTCTCCGTATGTAAAGCAGTTCATATTTCCAGATTCTCATTTTCCCCTGTGTGACCATAACACCAGTATACGTGGTACATGAAATGAACAAAGCCTGCTTTTACCACACTAGTTTTGTCTGAATGAGGAAGTTGTTCATGCAAATATGCACATCTGCTGTATATTGCACAGAACTTCCCAAACGGCCTATCGTAGTCCAGTATGTTTTTGTTCTGCCACAATTAAATTAGTAGACACTGGGAAAGTAAGCAGGAAGAATGTTAGAGGTACAATCTAGGTCAGAGACAGAGTTTTAACTGTATATAACTTTCATCACCCCTTGCCTAATCGATGGAAATGTTATTTTACGGTTTTAATGTCACCCTGCTCTTTTGTAAGAGGATTCACTTCCCCAAAGGCACAAATGGAAGTTGTTGTTTTTTTTCTTTCAGTTTGATTTACTCCACATGTTTTTTGAGAATGGATCCACTGCGACCTTTTTAAATACCACAAGTGGAGTGAGGTGGAAACACCGGAGGGTCAAACAAAATGGCCAGAACCCACAGGCTGCAAGGCATCTGTTTTAATTTAACTTGAGCTGAAAGGAACTGATCGATAGTGCGGACCAGTGTTTACAGAGCTACAGTAGCAAGCATTCCTTTCAGTGAAATGGCTTGCTTTTCCCTCTCAGACTAAATGTCTTTATCCCATTTCTATATTAAATCATTCATTTTTCCATTGAATTGTCAGATGCTCATTTGCCCTTTAGCTCACCAGAAATTGATTATTATGCTTCTTGGGAAAACAAACTTATCTTGAAATGCTGTAATTAAATCCTGAACACCACATGCAATATGTTCTGTTACCTAGTTTTATATAGTTGGGGAAAACCCCAAAGCAGAAGCCAACCCTTTGTGTGTTTTTAAACCTTTTAAGTGGTTTGTAAGTATGTAACTCTGGGATACATATAGAAGTATGGGTTTGCTAAGAGTTTCTGTTACTGAGCGGAAACTCTTGACCTTTGTTACTGAAGAATCTAAAGAATTTTTAAGGCTCATTACTTCCTTTGAGAATAAGACTGTACAATTTGATTGTTTTACACTGGAGATGGTTAGAGATGAACTGACAATGTGAAGAAAAGTTATTTTTAAAATGTACAACGCCTTCCCTCACTGTGAGAATGTCTTTGCATTACCACAAGCAATAAATATGTAAAGACCCTTTATCCATCCTGGGTTGATCTGGGTAGTTCTAGAAAATATAGTACAGAAAAGATTTTTTCCAGTTTTCCTGTGTGTTTATAACTACGAAACCTGAAATGGTTTTGGTTGTGCACACATTCAGAAAGCGTCAAATAACTGGGAGAATACAGCTTGATGTAAAAATGCCTCTAAAGTTATTCTTTTTGTGGCTGCTCATCCTATCAAGGAAAGTATGACAAGAGGAAATGGTTTAAAGCTGCAAATGTGGCCTAAGCTTTGCCGTTCATCTCTCCTTGCATGATCTAGCATGTGGCTATCCCACAAGGAAGAAGTGGGTGGGACATTGCTTTTCAGCTATTAATGTTGTGTGAGGGAAAACGTCACTGTAACACTATCCAGAGCCCAAACAGCCGGCGCAAGACGCTCAGCTCACGAGAAACCAGGGAGGCTTATGTGGAATGTGTTATGATAATCATGAAATTTAAATGTGATCATAAATAAATGTTTGTCTCTTTCCAGGTTATAAAAGTGTAGTACTTTTGAAAATATGATTGTTGACGCACTTAGTAAATCACGTAGCCAAGCTTAGATGATTTGTGACCAAGCTGTGCGGGGCCTCATTCTAGGTGTAGACTTGGAATCGTTTAATCTTTCTCCAAAAGTAGAAGTATTATGATGTTTTTATGGAAAGGCAGCAGTTAAAATGACAAAAGGACAGTTTAGATAAAATGGCTTCTGTTCATCGGTAAAGCCTCTCTGATAAATATTTGTCATCCATTAAAATTTCCACCTTCTTAGACAGTTCTTGGTATTTGTTGGAGAAAAAAAAACATTTGGCAACTGTAGCATCTAAATGTTCATTAGGTTGTTTTTTTTTTTCCTCTGGGGGAATATGCTACTATTTTTCTGTCCAATACTTTTACCTGGAAATGTCAGTAGAATGTTTTGGGTGGTAAAAGTGAAGAGAAAGTATATTAATCCAGTAGAAGTAGGATAGCATCTGAAAGATATCAGGAATAGTAAAGAGTCTACTATTTTACAAAGCAGCACAGAGATGTCTCATTGTTTGATTTATTGGTGATTTTCTGCAAACTGCTCGTAATTTCCCTTGTTGGTTCCAAATTTGCTAGTTTCCATGAAGTTCTTGTTTCTGTTTTGGACTTTTATTAAATTTAAATGCTAAATATCATCAAACAAATCTTAATCTCAAAGGAGTGATTGAAGGAAAAAATGTATCTAAGATTTATTCAGAGTGAAGTACATCAAAACAACCTGCTCCTAATTGAAAAAGATACAGCCCTGTATATCTAAAAACTGTTCATGCCATCCTTGGCAAAAACGTGTTTTTAGCATTTGCAAGAACTGATTTAAGTTAAGAAACCGACTTCACCACTGCAAGGCTGTTTTTCTGTGGGTTTCTTAAGCCCTTTAAAGATGGAGCTGTTTTCAGACTACAGTCCTCAACAACCAAAGTCTCATTTTATCTGTCATCTAATCTCAAAAGCTTTCTGTTAGAGCATAAAGGTAATGGTTTTATAAATGAAAACACGGGGTCTAAGTTCTGACTTAGAAAGACAGCCCTAGGCCATCAGCCTCCACAATCATGTGAGATGTTGGTGTGTATATATGTTTAACAATGTAACATTAAACATTCCCTTATAAAAAAAAATGTCTCCTCAGCTAAATATTTTCCCAAATCCCTTGATCATGTAGGTGTATTTCAGACAAATGAATAGTCTTTTTTTTTTAATGAGTCTTTTCATTTCATTGGAAGGGTAGTGGTGAGCTATGAAATCTGTAAAGAGAAACTTCACACATATGATTTCCAACTAAAAGATGCAAGATAATCTTTTTTCCAAGAGATTAACAAAAACATCAACAATGCTCGCGCCTTATTTGCCACAGTCAACAGGTTAACAAACCCTCCTATTGATGCAACTGACGAACTCCACACTAAAAAGACCAGCAATGACTTTGCAAAATTTTAAGTGAAGCAATACAAGGCATTAGAAAAGCAGTCTGCACATCAATGACAACTCCAGTACCAATACTGTCTCCAGTTATAATAAACTCTGTTAAAATGTCCCGATTCTGCCCTATAAACTGCAAACATTGAGAAGAAACTGTTCAGCAGCTAAGCTCCTCTTCCTGCTGTTTTGATGTTTTACCCACAGATTTTATTAAGAGGTTTTTGCCTGTTTTTAGACTGATTTGATTCAAATAAACACATCCCTTGTGTCAGGTGTTTTCCCCCGAGCCTTAAAAGCAGCAATTATCAAACTAATGTTGAAAAGGAGAATCTTGGACAAATTTGTCCTTCATAACTACAGACACATCTCAAACTTCCCCTTTATCAGTAAAATTATGGCGAAAGTTGTGTTTTAACAGTTAAATGCCCTCTTAACAATGCCCAGCTGCTTCGATGTCTTCCAGTCAGGTTTCCGTGCCAACCACAGTACAGAGACTGCCCTGATGAAGGTGTTCAATGACATTCATATAAATTCATACTCTGGAAGAACCACAGTGCTGGCATTATTAGACCTCAGTGTAACATTTGATACTGTTGATCACCCGATTTAATTATAGTGTCTTGAAAACTGGGTCTGCCTTTCTGGTACAGCACTGAAATGGTTTAAATCCTACCTGAAGGACAGGGAATTTAATGTGTCAGAAAGGAACTAAAAAATCAGAGACCAGAAAAATCACATACTGGGCTCCTCAAGGCTCCATCCATTCTAGGGCCCCTCCTATTCAAAATCTAAATGCATGCTCTCCTTGGCTCAGATTATAGCAAACAAGACTAGTTACCATTACAATGCAAACGACACAGCTTTACAGCACGATGTCACCAGCTGACTATGAACCCATCAGTGTTGCTTTGTGTCATGATGGACTCCAACCTGAACCTTCAGAGGCACATACTGTAAAGGCAGTTAACAGGTTAGTCTTTTATGAACTGACAAACATTTCCAGCACTGAAGGACTAATCTCCAATTAGAA